TCCTACTTCCGTAGTGATACTGCCTCAGAAACCCAAGGAGGGGTCGCTATGAGTCAGGGCCGACTCGATGGCAAATAACACAACAACAACAAGCAATTATTTAAGACCCGGCAAAGTCCCGGCAAATGGACCTTTTCGTTCAGTATCATGTATGTGATGAAAGAACTTTGGTATTTATCGCTTTAATTTTTCAAAAGAGAAAACTCATGAAGCAGGGTTTTTTTTTTACTTCTATTGTAGAGGGTATTTTTATTGCTTCTGTTTCAGGTAAGATAAGAGGAGTGACAGTGGGAATCCAGACCACAAGAAGGCAGAAGCCTGTAATAGAACCAGAGACCAGGTAGAGTATGTATCTTTGCTTCCTTGTTGAGGAGGGGGAAAAAAGGCTGTTACATGAGCATTGATGGGTTCTTATTAATGGTTTTGTGACAGAAGAGCATGTATACAAACTGGTCTGTTCTGACTGTTGCTTCTCAGTTCTTGCCAGCTTTTTTTTTTTTTTTTCCTTGTCTCACATACCTTCCTGGATGACTATGCTTCTGAATGACTTGTCTGAGTTTGCTTTCTTATCAGAGAGCAGAAAAGTAGAGTGACAGGGTGACCTGCTACTCTGCTTTGCAGAGAATAAAAAGGAAGCCACTACAGTTTCTTGAACGTCCTGTGATCATGAGAATATATATTTTGCAGGAGTTAGAAGAAGACCAGGAGAAATGATGTACATGTTTGCTTCCATGAAACCCAACCAGTCTTCCCTTGGAAACAAATTCACACTTTGGAGGGAGATCTCTAATCAGAAAAGAAGCTATTAAAAAGGTGAGTATTTTCTTTACTTTTCATTTTTCTTTCTGTTAGATTCCCATATAATCACCAAACAGGATACACTCTTGTTCAGAGCTTAGCAAGAGGATTAAAACAAGGGGAAAATGTTGCTGGAAGGGTGTATCTCATTTCATTTCTCTTATTTTAGGGATTTTTCCCCCTATAACATCCAATTTCCCTTGAATGATACTCAGTACCTTGAATTGTATTTGAAAGGTTACTGTGGTTTTGTGGAACAAGTACTAGGCTTGAGGACAAAGAAATGTGGGACAAAGGGGAAGTAAGAAAGAGTCTGAGATCTCCTTCTTATAATGTGTGTAATATTTAGTAATTTTTTACCTTCTCTTTTTCTATCTTTAAAAGAGGTCTAATAATACTATATTTCAGGCTGGTTATGAGGATTGAGTGAGACAATGTAAAGAAATATTTCTGGCCCACAGATGGCACTCATTAAATATTGTATATGCATGGCTATGTGTGCCTGTGTGTAGATATATTTTAAACTTGGATAAATAAAGAATTATCTACATGTATGATTGTTTTTGTTGGATGCTTTGTAGTTGATTTGGGCTCATCACAACCCTTGTGACAGAGTAGAATTGCCCTGTGGGGTTTTTTAAGCTGTAACCTTTACGGGGACATATCATCAGGGCTTTCTTTCACGGAGCTGAGCGGCTGGTGGGTTCAACACTACCAACTTGGAGCGCTCAACCATTTCACCACTAGGGCTCCTTACATGAATGATTGCAATGCATTTTCTAAAATTATAGCCAATTTTTTCTAATTCTTTAAGAACATCTTTATAAAAGGGGGGCTAGATACCACATCTGACCAATGAATTATGTGCAGTGATAAGCATCCTAATATATAAATTACCAAACAAGAGCAAGAAATGTACTTTTTATTTTAAAAGGGCCTTTATATTTCTAGAACTGATGCTGAATATGTGTATTTCATGGATTATTTCCAGAACTACCAGAAATTCTAGGTAAGAGCTATGTAATACACACAGGGTGGTGAGGGCTGGGGGTAAGAATGAGGAATGAAGGGTGGGGACTTCCTCTTACTAATTACTCTCTACTTCAGCAAGTACTCAGTTCGGCTTTTCCTTATCTCTCTTGGGGGTGAGGGGCGTTGGAGGTGGGGCCTGGTCCAAGCATGTTTAGCTACGCTCCTAGGCAGACCTTACTGAAGATATTTGTCAAGAGTATACATTTTTGCCATCAGTTTGGCATTGAACTTGATGTTCCTGTGAATGCATTCAGATTTAGTGTGTAACTGAAGGCATTTTGTTCTGTCCAAGGATTCCATCTTCCTCCTCCTTCCCTGTGCCTAAACCTTACCTGGTCTCCATTCCATAAAGATGTCTTGGTGGAAGAAGAAGCTCTGCCTGCAACATTACCTGTGGGCCCTGGGCTGCTATATGCTGCTGGCCATTGTTGCTCTAAGACTTTCTCTCAGATTGAAATGTGACTTTGAGCACCTGGATCTGGAGTCCAAGGACTTTCAAAGCCGGCACTGTAGGGACATCTTGTACGAGTCCCTGAAGCTACCAGCAAAGAGGTCCATCAACTGTTCTGGGGTCATCCGAGGGGACCAGGAAGCAGTAACTCAGGCTCTTCTAAACAACCTGGAGACCAAGAATAAGCGGAAACCTTTCACAGACACTGACTACCTCAACCTTACCAGGAACTGTGAGCGCTTCCGTGCCAAGAGGAAGTTCATAGAGTTCCCACTGAGCAAAGATGAGTTAGACTTCCCCATCGCATACTCTATGGTAGTCCATGAGAAGATTGAAAATTTTGAAAGACTACTGCGAGCTGTGTATGCCCCACAGAACATATACTGCATCCATGTAGATGAGAAGTCCCCAGAAACTTTCAAAGAGGCAGTCAAGGCAATTATTTCATGCTTTCCAAATATCTTCATGGCCAGTAAGCTGGTTCGGGTGGTTTATGCATCCTGGTCCAGGGTGCAAGCTGACCTGAACTGCATGGAAGACTTGCTCCAGAGCCCAGTGCCGTGGAAATACTTCCTGAATACATGTGGGACAGACTTCCCTATAAAGACTAATGCTGAGATGGTCCAGGCCCTCAAGATGTTGAATGGAAAGAACAGTATGGAGTCAGAGATACCTACCGAGTACAAAAAAACACGCTGGAAATATCATTATGAGGTGACAGACACATTGCACATGACAAGCCAGAAAAAGGACCCTCCCCCTAATAATTTACCTATGTTCACGGGGAATGCCTATATTGTAGCTTCTCGAGACTTCATCCGACATGTCTTCGAGAACCCCAAATCCCAAGAACTGATTGAATGGGTAAAAGACACATATAGCCCTGATGAACACCTCTGGGCCACCCTTCAGCGTGCACCATGGATGCCTGGCTCTGTTCCCTGCCACCCCAAGTATGACATCTCTGACTTGGCTGCCATTGCTAGGCTGGTCAAATGGCAGGACCATGAGGGAAACATGAGTGAAGGGGCACCTTATCCACCTTGCACTGGAATCCACCAGCGGGGTATCTGTATTTATGGGTCTGGGGACCTGCATTGGATGCTTCAGAACCATCATCTTTTGGCCAACAAGTTTGACCCAAAAGTGGATGATAATGCTCTCCAGTGCTTAGAAGAGTACTTACGCTATAAGGCCATCTATGGTACTGAAATCTGACACACACTATGAGAGAATTTGCTACCTGTGGGTCAGACACTTGTGCAAACAGGCTCAGAGCTTGCTGAGACAATGTAGGGGTGGGAGTCCAGGTTCTGGAATCTATGGTATCCCCTAGGGAAAGGGGGTTGCTAGTGGAGTATGAGTAACTACTTACTGCTGACTACTCTCTCGTCCCTATCCCTGTAGCTCCTCCACTGACTTTCTTACAGAGTAATAATAAGAACCACTGTTATGTGGAGGAGTAAAGAGGAAAGTGTGGCAGGGTAACCTGGATTTTGGATGAATGCATGGTTTCAGCTTTCCCATTCAATAGAGATGCCATTCCTAATAATGCTAGGCTTGGTAAGGGAGAGGAAGGTGTTTCACTAAGGAAGAAGAATATCAAAAGATAACTTTGAGGTAAAGAGAGGCTTCCCTTTTTCACTATCAACTTAAAAATAAATAGCTCGGATTCATAGCCCTACTTCTACTTCTTACCTAGTAAGTCAAGAGTAAGATGAATAAATTTAAAAAAGAAAATATGGAAGACATTTTCCTCGTAACTATCAGTGACATTTAAATTCCCTGATGAGTGGCAAGAGAATCACCATTATTCAGAAATTGTGCTGGCCAGACTGTATGAATAACAGATTCAAATAAATAGACAGGAGTGGATGCTTTTATTATTGAGAGCCCTCCATTTCATTTATGTTTCTGGATTCATGTTTTTTTTGTAAGGGAAAAGGTGAAGTGACTTAATCAGATTGGCTACCCATATCCTTACAGGAAAATTATGGCACTAATTTTGCCTGCTTTATAGCTAAAGTTTAAACTTCCATAACAAAGATTATAGTCATTTAGATATGGTCACCATATAATTTATTGTCTAAACTGGAACATGTTTTAGTGGCTGCCAGGAAGCGGGGGAAGCAATACTGTTAATAATTATACCGGGAAATAAGAATAAACTGGGACTGTCCAGCTAAACCATGATGTCTGGCTACTCCACATTTAGACCTCTTGAGTCAAAACTCCCATTCCAGTATGACAACGAGAGGATCATTATTTAGTTTTGCAGCTTAAACATTTTCCTGTGGGGAGACAATAATGTGTGTGTGTGGTGACTGTGTGTGTGTGATTGTTGTGAATGTGGTGTGTGTGTGACTTGTGTGACTGGTGTATGTGTTCATTTATGTGTGAATGTTGTTGTTGTTGTTATGTGCTGTCAAGTCAGACTCATAGTGACCCCTCCTTGGGTTTCTGAGGCAGTATCACTGCGGAAGTAGATTGCCCAAACTTGAGGGGTATGTGTATGTGAGGAATGTGTGTGTGTGTGTTCTTAAATGTTTCCCAATGGAACAATTTCCTTTCAGAAGCTCCAGAGATGATTGTCAGACATTTGGAAGGCAATCAGGTACTAGTCATCCTCTTCTGTGATGGGCAAGGTATACTGTATAAAAATATGTAGTATAGCTGATCTTCTGCATACAATATTTTCAGTAAAATTGATTTATATGTAAGTTAATCTGTAATTTTAATGAAGTTTCCATTAACATGTCACAATGTCACTGATGTTTTTCTTCATTTCTGATTGTGATTCAACTAATTATGTTTTCTCTCACTGTGGATTTAATTTTCTCTGTATCCCATGTACTCTGACATAGTTATCACTGTGCCTGACACAGTAAATAATGTCTTTTACAAGGTTGTACTCCTTTGGTAATGGACATCACCACCATCGACTTACCTGCCTTGTAACATTGAGTCCTTTTCATCTTACCCCTAGCTCCATTATGGAGATGAATGATGAAATAGACCCCTGCACAGCAGATATAAGGTCTATTCACCTTAAGGTGATCATGGACCCCTCCCCTGCTGGCCAGTGTATCTACCTTGGGCCATCCTCTGAGGAGCTTTGAGGGGGTGCACTGCCACTGTGGACAGGGGCACTTCTTTCCCCTAGTGCACATGTTTGTTTTGAGACAAGAACCTGGGTCTTTGACCCTTTGACCTCATTATTAATGTGTGAAATAAGTTAGAATTTTTCCTATCAATAAAATTAAATATAAACTTGTAATTTTTTGGGGATGAAGTTCCTGGAATTTTCCAAGCATTGACATTTTCCATAGAAATATATGTAGGTGGATAGAAAGTACTCATTACTTATCAGTGTATTAGTAGGGGTGAATTTCTCCTGCATTTGTTTAGTGTATTTTGGAAATCATACAATTAAACCAACATATCTGTTGATTTTTCCTCTCTCTTGAGTTTTGTCTATTTATTCAGCCTTTCTCTGGAAAGGAAAAATATTATGAATGAATTAAGGAATAACTATGTTTGTATTACTTCTTAAGGTTTGAATACATCCATATTTTTGACACTGGTCTATTTGTGAGCACAGTTTTTAGCAGCTATGTTTTTGTTGTACATTCTGCTTATTGTAATATTTGCTCTTCTCTTGGCTGAGTGAAACTTTCTTTTAATACCTTAAGTACATTAATTGACCTGAGGATGTGTTCTTCTTCATTTAGTTACATTTATTACAAAGATCATATGATATGGTTGCTGCCTTTGTGAAACTTGAGTGTGATAGTTAAGGTGGTGTGTCAACTTGGCTGGGCCATGATTCTCAGAGGTTCAGCAGTTATGATGTAGTCGTCCCCCATGATGAAATCTGATATAATGTAATCACTTTCATGATGAGCTGTGCTATGAGCAACCAATCAGTTGAAAGGGAGTTTCATCAGGGGCATGGCCTGCTTCCTATATATATGTATATATAAATGTCCTGGGAATGTTCCCTGGCTTTCTGCTGGATCTGAATCCTCCATCTGGTTCATCATCATCACTGGTTCCTGGACTTGAACCAGTGGCCTGTCGTATTGCCTGCCAATCTTGGGATGGTTGCCTTCACAGCCTATGTGCCAACAATCTGGCATTTTAGCTGCTGATCTTTTATTTGTCGACTCCTGCAGCTGTGTGAGAGAAGAAGCCTCAAGTTTGATGTTTGATCCATGGACTTGGGACTTGCCAGACTTTATAACTGCATGAGCTATTTCCTTGAGATAATTTCCTCTCTCTCTCTCATACATACTCATATATATATATATATATATATATATATATATATATATATGCATGCCTTGGTGGAATAATGCCTAAGGCACTTGACTGCTAACCAGAAGGCTGGCGGTTCAAACCCACCAGCCACTCCTCAGAAGGAAGGTTGGGCAATCTACTTCTGTCGTGATACTGCCTCGGGAACCCAAGGAGGAGTTGCTATGAGTTGGATCTGATTCCATGACAGTGGTTGCATTTTTTGGTTGTGTGTATATATGTGCCTTAGGCACTATGCCACCAGAGCTCCCTATATATATACATATTTAGGAGCTCTTATCCCTATATATATTTATATACAGAGAGAGGGAGCTCTGGTAGCGTAGTGCCTAAGGCATTTGACTGCTAACCAGAGGGCTGGTGGTTCAAACCCACCAGCCACTCCTCGGAAGGAAGATTGGGGAGTCTACTTCCGTAGAGATACCATTTTGGAAACCCAAGGAGGAGTTGCTATGAGTTGAATCGACTCAATGGCAGTTAGTTGAGGATATATATGTATATACAAGCTTTATTGGTTTTGCTTCTCTAGAGAACCTAGCCTAAGACATTTGAATGTACTGACAATAAGTAAAATAACTCATTCATTTAAGTGAGTTCTGCTATGCACCAGGAGTTCTATTATGCACATGGAGTTGCTATGGAATGGAATCAACTCCACAACACCCAACAACAACACAACATGTACCAGGAATTGTCCTTGTACTGGGGATACAGAAGTGAACCAACAGGAAAAAATCTCTACCTGCTTATCGTTCACAACCTAACAGGGGAAACAGACTATAAACAGATAAGTAATACGTATATTAGAAGGAGGAAGGGGCAAGAGAGAAAACAGAGGGCATGATAGAGACTTCATGGGGGCGAGTGGGGGAAGTGGAGCTTAAAATTTTAGGTAGGGTGGTTAAGGTGGCCCTCCAGGGAAAGGTGACTTTGAGTGTATAGATCTGAAGATGAGAGAATGATCCATGAAGATAAATGGAGGAAGAACATTTTAGGCTAAGGTCCTAAAGCAGGAACATACCTGCCATGTCAGGAACAGCAAGGAAGACAGTGTAAATGGAGCAGAGAGAGGGAGGGGAAGAAGAAAAGACTGTGCAGGAGGAAGACATATTGTCAAGACCCTATTAAATCATTACATTACATTTCTTTTGCTCTGAATGGAATAGGAGGCCATCCTATGGTTTTGAGCACAGGTGAGACATGATCTGGTTTACGTTTTAATAGTATGACTTTAGTTGCTGCATTGAGAACAAATAGCCTGGGGGCAAGCATGGAAGCAGGGAGGCCAGTTAAGAGACTATGGCAATAATCCAGGCCTGATGCAATAGTGACTTGGGCCAGAACAGTAGCAAAATAAATGGTGAAGGTGGTCATATTATGGAATATTTTGCAGATTTAGTTGAAGACTTGCTAACAGATTAAATTTGTTTATAAGAGATGTAGTGGAGTCAAGGATGACTCTGGGGTTTTCGTCCTGATTTGTTGGAAGGATGTAGTTGCAACTCAACCTACATGGGGAAACGTGTGAAAGTAGGCCCTTAGGAGAAAATTAAGAGTTTGATTTTGAACAAATAAAATTGGAGATGCCTATTAGACAGCCAAGTTGAGATGTTGAAGAGACAGACATGTATAGGAGTTTGAGTTCAGGAGCAAGGTCTGGTCAGAGACTCTTCTCATGTTCATCAGCTTATAGATTGTGTAAAGATCTCACAAACTGATCTCACTTATAGATCTTATGAAAGTTGGATGAGATCCTCAAAGGAATGGATGTAGATAGAAAAATCAGTTCTGGTGTTCTCCAAAATGAAGAGGTCAGGGAGATAAGAAGACACCAACAAAGTTGAAAAGAAGTTCATGTGTTACAGGAAGTTAGTAGTGGTGGTTCAATAGTAGAATTCTCA